CGAACATAGCACAGGAGACACAATGGTAGGAGTCAACTACAGACCCCCTAACCAGGAACAGGAGCTTGACCAGGAATTCACCAGGGAACTGGCTGAGGCTACATGCTCTCCATGGTACACTTCCTCTGGACTCCTTTAAGAAGCGTTTGGATTCTTACCTTGCTGAGATCCTTTGACCCGAGCTGACTTTTTGCCTTTGGGGAAGGGGGCTGGACTCGATGATCTCCCAAGGTCTTTTTCAGCCCTAATGTCTATGAATCTGTGAATCTGTAGAAGGAAATTACAGGAGAAAGACAGAGGCGGTAGAGTTAGCAAATTGCTAGACCTATCGAGATGCTGGAATCAGTTGTTGTTACTGATGATTATCTTGATGATGATGATGATGACGACGATGCAGGGTATCTAAATCAGGAGCCCCCATTACTTTGAACGGTCTGAATCCCTGACACTGCTTTGAAAATATAAGTGTTTGGCTAGGTTGCAGGTTCAGTTGAGAATACTAATATTTCTTGCCAGTATTATATACATGTTATACAGTCCAAAGTATGAAGCTTCTTTTATGTTGTTTATAAGAACTGCATACTTTATTTGTATGGAAAAAACAAGCTAGGATGATGTCAGAATGTAGTTTTCTAGTGGAAAGAGAAAAAGAAAAAAGTTTTCTGTGATAGAAGGTGGAGCAAAGGATAGACAGAATGCAAATTGGATTGCAGGATCTGAGCTATTCAGCTTGCGACAAACAAATGCTTAACAGGCTTTAAAATTATAGCACTTTACAGCAGATCTGCTATAACTTTTTCATCTGTCTACTTTATTCTGCTTGAAGTGGAGACTAACGTGCTGTAACTTAAACTAACATGCTTTTTTATTTATTCATTCATGCTAATCTGAATGAAAGTTACAGTGATTTAGCTTTACAACGCTGCTATAGGAGTAGACCTGTGAAACATTTAAATGGACTCAGCTGACATGCATTCCTGGGTAGTAAGTCCCCTTCTCCTGCCTTTTAAAATAATATATAATTACATATGTCCGCAGCTAAAAAGGTTAACCAAACAAGGTGTATATTTCTGAGAAAAAATGATGTGGGGGTAGGGGGGTGTACAAAATTATGGAGTAAATGCAGGCATTCATGCTACTTGAGCAAATATTGCATTTAAAAGTGAAGGGCACATTTGTGCTAAGGAATCAGAAGAATTTAGCTGGAAGATTTTGACGTGCTGTTTAATTAATGTTTGAATAATCTAGCTATGACTATAGTAAGTAGAATGCTAATAGTCTGAAGCAGGAGTTAGATGTTGAGCTGAAGGCCTGTATATGTTACTCTCCTGAAGACTTGGGGTGGATTCTGTTCCATTTGTGTGCTTAAGGCTAGGTACAGACATTCAAAAAGCCTAAGGTGGAATTGGTGTAAGTGACACAGTTTTCTGTAAGCGGCATAGTTTAGATCAGTTGCAAACAGAACACACATTTATCCTTTAGTGAGGGGAGCAAATCTTAGATCAGGTTCCACCATTTTTAAACCAGTTTGAGCGCTGAACTTCTGTTCTGTTATGGGTATAGAACTGTTTCTGATCACTTATACTGGTAAAAGTGTAATGTCCGTACCTGGCCCCTGTGGCATCTTTAGAACCACGTATGTGACATTTTTGGCACTCATGCAGGTTGTGATTCTTTACCCCAACACTGTGGACGTGTAAGTCTATGTGTGTAGGCTGAGTATGTGCAATAGGCTATGCAGTGTTCAGGCATGTATGTGATTAAGGAAATGTGTGTAAGTCCTGAAAATGAGACTGGACATAAACCCATGACTAGTGGGTGTTAGATGCCGGAGGGGGAGGACCCACACATGTTTTAGTACCAATAGCTGAGTGGTTAGGGCTCTTACCCAGGAAGTAAATACCTGCATTCTAGCCCCCCGTCCCCAGAGGCTGTTTGAACCTGTATCTCTTGACTTTGTAGCACAGTGCTTTATCCACCACATCATAAAAAGGCATCATCCAGATTTCTCTTGAAGTTGGCTTCCTCATCAGGCAAGAGAAGGGGCCAGGAAGAAGAGAAAACGCGAGAAAGGGTGCGGTTACCAGTAAGATGGCTGCTGCCTTCTAAGGCAGGAGTGGGCAATTATTTCAGCTGGAGGTCTGCTTAATGAGTTTTGGTGAGCTGTTGAGGGGCACAAGGGTAGCACCACTCCTTGACAGGTGCCCCGCCCCCCTGGTTACCATTTTGGGACCAGGAGTCCTGCCCCTAACCCCTGGCCTTTGCTATGGAAAGTCTATCCCCTTGCCATGGAAGTCTTCCTTTTGGGGTGGGGTGCCATCTTGGAACTGGAGAAAGCCCCAAATTATATACTAAAAAATAATAATCTACGATAACATACTTTAATTTTATTTCAAAATATATTTTTTTCCTGGTTTAAGTGTGCTTGCATAGTGTATATAGAGGTGATTGCATAACGGCTCTTACTCTTGTATATTGGGGGGGGATAGATGGTTATATGTGAGGGGTGTGTGGTTGGGGATGAGGGCATGTGTGTGGGGTGTGGGTATAGTGGAGTGTGGGATGCATGGGTGTGTGCGTTTGTAGGGTGTAGGGGAGGGTATGGGTGTGGCTATGAGTATGGTGGGGTGAGGGGGGTGGGTGGTGTGTACGGGGTGTGAGTGTGTGTGTGGGAGTGTGTGTGGGTATGGTGGGGGGGGTGTGGGTGGGTCCCTGGAGTGTGCGAGTTGCCTGAGCCGCATGTGGTGGCAGTGCGCAGGGCCGGCTCAGCCTGGCCCCATAGCACGCAGCTCCTCGCGCTCCCTCCTGAATCTCCAGCTGCACATGGCAGCAGCGTGTGGGGCCAGCCTGAGCCAGCCCCATAGCGCGCTGTTCCTGCAGCCCTGGCCCCTTTTCCCTCAGTGGGAGTCCCTGGCCCCCGGCCCAGTGGGGCCCTTACCTGAATTGTCATTCTTGCAGGGAGGGAGGCTGGAAACAGCCACAGGGCTACCAGACTAGAGCCTCTGCCAGGCAGAAGCTTCTTGTCTCCAGTATCCCCTACCTTGGGGCTGGGGCTGGGGCAGGCCAGGCTGGGGTGGGCGCTGGTTGCTTAGCAACCAGACCCAGAGCTGCTGCTGCAGCGGGCACTGCCACCTCCTGCACGGAGGCACTGGCCTTCAGAGGGGCAGCCAAAGGCTGGTGATAGTTGTCTTTTAGCTTTTGGAGGGGTCCCACGAGCTGGATGGAATCACCTGGCAGGCTGGAACCAGCCCGTGGGCTGTATTTTGCCTTCCCCTGCCTGAGTCAATGCTAAACCTGTGTTCTCAATAGGATGAAAAATTTCTTCTGCACTGCTCTCCATCCATCTTATCCAATGGCTATTCAATGCAAAGGGCAGCGAGATAGTTTTAAAAGGAGTGCTAGAGAAGGGACTAGATAATTTTTTACCTCTTGCATGGTGGTTAGAACAGTATACAAGGACGTTGTATTAACACAGGGTCAAACCCACGAAGTGAGACTTAGTACGCGTCTCCCAATTCCTTGGCAAGTGCCCTATCCACTCAATTCTTGGGACTAAATGGTAAAAGGGGCCTCTTCTTTCTCCCTTTTTCCAGACTTATGCTCAAGTACTTAGCTGCATACATGCCTGACCAGTGTGTATGTGACTGCACATGCTCAGCATATGTGCACACACTTAAATGTGTACAGTGCAGAAGTAGCAGAATTACAACCTGTGTTTAAGTACCAAAAATGCCACTTAGATAGCTAGCAAACTGCCATTTAGGCACAAAAATGGAAACAGAATCCTGCCCCTCGCTTAAAATGTTTGTTTTGGTCAAAGAGCGTGAAAATAGCAAGTCCCTTCCTTGAAGAGCCTTCAGATTAATTCGCACAGATATTATGCACAGGAAAAGAGAGCTGTTACTAGGAAGGAGTGACTTTATAGCTTTGCTGCAAGAATTTGCTGTTGAGGTTAGGTTTGGAGGCTAAAGAAGGCATTTGGTATCTTTGATGTAAGTAGCTGTTCTGAAAAAATGACTTCATTGGATATTATCTCTATTTTAAGTCTTAGGAAGTATTGTTTTCATTACATTTCAAATCTCATATTAAAACAGTCACTGAAATGGATTCACAGAACTATTACAGGTCAGTTTGCACAGTGTTTGATCACACTGTGCCTTGCTTTTACCAATTCCTGTTCTGTTCTTTCATGGGCACCGAGACTTAAATAAAGGAGTAAGTAGTTGGAAGAAAGAATATGGGATCAGATCTCCTGATGCGTTAGAGTAATGCTAGGGAGTAGAGATGGAACATGATGCCATCTTTGTTTAATCCTAGGAACTATAAGTGCCTGAAGCTGCTTTATCACAAATTTCCAAGTTCTGGTACATCTCCAACCAAGCCTGGAATACCACTCACAGAGGTGGATCTAAAATTTTGAAAAGGGAGGTGCAGATGGTGAGGTGCATCATCACATATAAAATAACACACAGTTTTATCTAGTAAAAAATAAGCCAGAAGCTTTACTAATGTGCTAGGGAACTAGGGCTGTATTATTAAGTTTAAGATGAAAGCAAAAGCAATCTGAAGGGCTGTGAAATAGGAGTTTCATTTACCAGGAACAGCTAACAGAAAGAATTTCAGAACAAAGGATAGCTTCAGGGGACATCAATACCATTAAAAAGAAGAGAGGATTGTTAACACCTGTGGAATAAAGGGTTGTAGAAGGGATCAGGTAGATTAAAATGAGCCATGAAGTCAGTTAGCACTGCCTGACCTGAAATGATGCTGCCACTGCAAGGTAGTTGGGTTTAAACTTTGGTTGAACCAAGAATAAAAGTGGGTCCAAGTGTACTAGTATGCTTGTCGCCCCCTTGGATCCACCCCTGGCCACTCATGTTGGTAAGAATGTGGCAGGAAGCTTCAGCAATGCATGGCTGTATGTGAATTGTTAGCTAGTTATTGCTGAAGAGGTAGTTCAGAATTTAATTTTTCTTTTTCTTTTCCCTTTTTAAATATAGGTTCCTTTGGGATACTTGTTCTTCCAGCAGTAAGTATTCCTTTTCCTATTATACTTGACAGAAAAGGTTATTGTTAAAATACTGCAGTCTCTCATTACGTGCTTTATTGGCTTATATTGGTGGCATGGCATATTTTGTGCATGGTGCTAGTTATTTTCAAATTTAAAGACTAGCTGCTGACCATCAAACCAGCATTGTTCTAGTCCAAATGCTTTGAGGTTTGTAACAAATAATTAGAAGTTTAAGGAGGAAGTGTCCAACATCAGCTGGCATAAGACTGTCTCAGAGCACCTGATATTTGGTAGCTGCTGACAAAAATGGTGAATAAACTCTGGGACCAGGATTTGCTGTCATCCCAGTGGTTAGAGCTGGGTCACATGTCAGGAGGTTAACATCTGGGAGTCAGAAAATCAGGTTAAGAGTCAGGGAGAGGGAGGGCCAGAACAAAATCCAGAGAACCAGAAGCCAAGACAGAGGGAGGATTTAAAATCAGGAAGCTGAGAGCTGTTAGATGCAGGGGCTAGAGTTGGGAAGATAGGTGTAAAACCTAAGTCATACTCAGGAACAAACTAGAGATCAGGAGCCAGTCACAGAAATCAGGAGTGAGAGAGGTGACCAGAGCTGAGGCAAGGTGTTAGGACAAGGCAAGCCTATAAGCCCTCAAGGAGATATATGCAGACACATGCCACTGCTTAGTTTTCTATTTTGAAGGCTCTGTTTGAGATGGGGACAGCAGTTATTGCCAGTACATCAGCTGTTGTGAAGCTGAAGAGTTTGTCAGAGGATGATTTATCACATCAACACACTGTGAATGCTTTTTAGTAGATCCAAGTGATGCAAAAAAATCCAGATATTAAATCAACAATGTGAACAATGTTTATGTACAGTCCTTTTTAGGATTTGCATGTTTAATGTAGACAAACTTAAAATAAGAATGTAGATTTAAACACAAACTTAATCAAGCATTACATAAAATGTATGGAAAGAGAGTTTTGAATTTATAATCACGAGAGTCAATGCTGGTAGCCTGCTTTAGGAATTATGCTATCCTACAAAAGAACTAATTTTCTAGTTTTCTAAGGCCTTTCTAAGGTTTTGAGAAGCCACAGGAACTATCAAACTGCAGATACTCAGTATCTTTGAATTCTGGTTTTAAGTGATCTGTCTGATCAAAGTAGTTGGAAGTGAATGACAAATACTGAATACCTGAAGTATTACAGCAAAAAAGTTCAAAGTTGTGCATTCACATCAAAGTTCAATATCTGCACAAATATTCAGTTTTCCAACAAATTGCAGTCCTTTTATGGATAATTCAGGAAAAGAAAAAGATGTAACGAACTGAATACATTAATTGCTATTTGGACAGCCCTTAGAGCTCCTCAGAGTATTCCCAAGTTAAATCCTCTGCATGGCATGTGCCATATTTGCTCCATTAGAAGATGAGGTTCTCCCCCTACCATTTAGCATGGGGGCAGAGGGAAAGGCCCCTTGCCTTACAGTCAAGCACAAGGCAGTGGGGTGGGGCAGGCAGCTGCTATGGTGGCTGGGCTGGAGCTGGAGTCACAGCTGCTGCCTACTGCCTCCCCCCACCCCACTACCTCTGTTTGCCTCTGTGCGCCCTCCCCTTCTGCCCCCAGTCTCCCCGCTCCATGCCACTTCTCTCTGTCTCCCTTTCCGTTCAGCTGCAATAGCAGTGCTGGCTCCATGCCACTGCTAGACTGGAGCCATGCTTCATGCCTCCAGCTGCAGCAGGGATGGAGCCTGCCAGTCCAGAGCAAAGGTAAAGGGGGAGGGTGGGGCTTGAGAGGCAGGTGGTGGGGGGAGACTTTTCTGGGGCAGGAAATAGAAGAGGACTTGGCCAAATCCAATCGGTCTCAAAGCTTCCTCACATGCGTGGCTGAGCTCCACCTGTTTCAAGAAGTTTATGGGCTGACAAGAGGTAAGGCGCTGCTGGACCTGGTACTGGCCAGAGGGGATGCTCTAATTAGCGATCTAAAAATTGAAGGGAAGCTGGTAGAGGGTGACCACGAGATGATCACTTTCGCTATCTGTCGCAAAGCTGGCAAGTTAGCCAGCAATGCAGTAGTCCTCGACTTTAGGAAAGCTGACTTTCATAAGCTCAGGAGGCTTGTTCTTGAGGCCCTGAGAGGCCATGGTTTGACAGGGAGGGGAGTTCATGATGAGTAGTTGCTCCTTAAGGGAGCGATCCTCGAAGCACAAGAGAAGTTCATCCCAACCCATAGGAAAGGTGGTAAAAGGGCTCAACAACCACCTTGGCTCAACTCATGGACCTCCTGCGTCTGAAAAGAGAGGCTTATAAAGGATGGAAGACAGGAAATACCACTAAGGAGGAGTATTCTTCAGTGGTCCGCACCTGTAGGGAGTGAACTAGGAAAGCCAAGGTTGCAACCGAACTCCAACTGGCTACATGAATAAAGAACAATAAAAAGTCCTTTTTCAGATATGTGGGGAGTTGAAAGAAAACCAAGGGCAACATTGGACCCCTGCTAAACCAGATGGGGCAGCTGACTACCGACACTCAGGAAAAAGCGATTCTGCTTAATGATTACTGTGCGTTGGTTTTTCACGAGCCCAGAGGGACTACCCTGCCTAACATGATACGGGATGACCAGGGTAAGGCTGAATATATGCCTGCCATTGGTGTGGATCTTATGAGGGAACATCTTGAGAGGCTGGATCCCCACAAATCAGCTGGTCTGGATAGATTGCACCCAAGAGTGCTAAAGGAACTGGCAGACACCATAGAGCAGCCACTGGCAAGGATATTTGAGAACTTGTGGTGCTTGGGTGAAGTACCTGAACATTGGAAGACGGCCAGTGTGGTGCCTATCTTCAAGAAGGGGAGGAACTACAGGCCAATCAGTCTGACCTCAATCCCTGGGAAGTTCTGGGAAAAAAATATCAAAGAAACCATTCTTGAAAGGCTAATAGAAGGCAACATTCTGAGAGACAGCCAGCATGGGTTTGTTGCGGGTAGGTCTTCCCTGACCAACCTCATTTCTTTCTAGGACCAGGTGACATATCACCTGTACAAAAGGGAAGAGGCTGATATAATATATTTGGACTTTAAAAAAGCCTTTGACCTGGTGGCCCATGATGTCTTTGTGGAAAAATTGGGCAACTGTGGCCTTAACTACACCACAGTCCAATGGCTGGGGAACTGGCTCTGAGGTCAGACCCGGAGAATGGTAGCTGACGGAACTGAATCAACATGGCACTCAGTGACCAGTTCCCCTAACGCTCCATACTCAGACCTGTACTCTTTAATGTATTTATAAATGATCTGGACACTAGTGTCAGAAGCGGACTGGCTAAGTTCACTGATGACCCCAAACTTTGGGGAAGAGTATCCACACTTGAGGATAGGCTAGTGATCCAAGTTGACCTTGATAGGCTTGCAAGCTGGGCTGATGAAAATCTGATGGCGTTCATATGGAGAAATGCAAGGTGCTCCACCTTCGGAAAAAAAACCCACATCACGTTATAGGCTCGGCAATGCTACACTCCCTAGCACCACAGCCAAAAGAGATTTGGGGCCATGATTGACCACAAGATGTACATGAGCCACCAATGTGATACCTCAGCTGGCAAAGAGAACAAAGCTCTGGCTTGCATCTACTGATGCATCTGGAGCAAGACCCAGGATGTCATTCACCCTCTGTACTTGGCTTTGGTGAGGTTGCAGCTAGAGTACTGCATCCAGTCCTGGGATCCACAATTCAGGAAGGATGTGGACAAGCTTGAAAGAATCCAGAGGAGAGCCACGCTTGTGATCAGAGGGCAAGAGAACAGGCCTTATGAAGAGAGGCTGCGAGCTATGGGACTCTTCAGCCTGGAGAAGCACAGGCTCAGGGGTGACTTGGTGGCAGCCTGTAAGTGTATAAAGGGCATGCATCAGGACCTGGGGGAATGCCTGTTCACCAGAGCACTCTAAGGAATGACAAGGTCCAACCATCACAATCTCCTGCAAGACCATTTTAGGCTGGACATAAGGAAAAACTTCTTTACTTTTTGAGCCGCCAAGGCCTAGAATAGACTCCCCCCCCTCCCCCAGAGGTGGTGCAAGCACCTACTCTGGACTCTTTTAAGAAACATTTGCATGCATATCTTGCTGGGATCCTTTGACTCTAGCTGACTTCCTGCCCCTTGGGCAGGGGGCTGGACCCGATTATCTTATGAGGTCCCTTCCAGCCCTAATGTCTGTGAAATCTATGAAACTCCAGGAGCTGGTAGATTGGTATGCTTGAGAAGGTACAACTGAGGAACCTATAGAGTAGGGTGACCATGCATCCTAATGAGGCAGGACAGTCCTGGAATGGGAACCTCAAGTCCTGGTCCCTGGCTGCATGACTCCAGGACAGCTTTTGTCTCAGATACACAGTATTGTGCAGGGATCTGGGTTTTCCGTTTGCCACAGGAAACAGCGGGTTTTCCTTTGCAGGCTGGCAACATTCCAGCCTGCAAGGTGTGCTTGAGACTGCCGGGGTTATGATGCCGAGGGTGCCACGTGCATACATGTGCCCACAAACATGTACATAGCTGGAAATACAGCCAGGCAGCATAGAAAGCAGCTCCTGCAGGTAAGTCTATGGGGGAATAGGGGGCATAGGTAGGTGAGAGGGGTAGATTGAGGCCCCCACAGTGAGGGAGGGAGTGGGGCAGGGGCTTGGGGTACTGCCCAGCCAGGACAGTGCGTGTGGCCCAGGGCCGGGGTGGGGAGCAAGGGCAGCTCATCCAAGGGGTGTGGGTGGGTCATGGGAGGGCTTGCACTCCTGGGAGGAGGTATGTGGGAGCATGTGTCCCTCCAGATTTGTGTGTGGGATGGATGTGGGCTGCCCACTGTGGGCTCGGGGCTCCCCACTCTGCTGCCCTCCCCTTGGGAGCCTCATGTTGTGTCCTGCCTTTCCATTTTTAAAAGGTGGTTACCCTACTATAGAGTTCAGTCAATGCAGTCTTTTACCACTCTCTGGCAAGGTATATCTTACACATTCTTGAACTAGAAAATGTT